AAATATGTCAGTCTCGTCAGCGTGCATAAATCGCAAGCTGGGAGAACAGTTTCCCATTCCACCAAAATTAATCCTCATACATGTACCTTGTGCTCTCAGGCACTTGACACTCCAATGCTCAGTAATGGCTGCTGTCATGTTTTAGCTGCCAATGTGCAAACCTCATACCAAGTGAAGTGAAACAATTTCACTTGTTTCAATATTGTACGTTCTTATTTTCTTGAAACAAGCAGGCACTACACCAACCATACCCTTACTTTGGAAAGGTATGATGATCTTTCTTCTTACAAGTTGATACCTCATTTTAATTGCAAGGATGATAAATACAAGCAATTATGATGATGTTTGCACTGCAGTGGCTGACACTGTGGCTGTTTCTGGGCTGGTGGTTTTTATCTTCTCAACACGGGCTGCCCTCCTCCTGTGAAGAAAACACATTATGTTCAACCTTCAGACAGTAACAACAACCAGATGTGCAAAGTGACTGTTGACCTCAGCAAGCTTTCCCTCAACTAATTAAATCAATATTAGTTAATGTTGTGTTGAACAGCAGATAATGAGATTGCACCCTGTAAAAAGCTTGTCTTTGGACTTACCATTGCAGATATCCTTTGGTGAATTTTCCATTGGGGTCAAGACACCTTTGGCTGTTATCTTTCAGTGTGACACTGTAGGAGAAGGAGAAAGCTTTAATTTAAAATAACTCTCTAAACAGGACTTATGAATTACTGTCACGGAAAAACAATAATCTTCACTGAAAATGAAAAACTACTGTTTATTCATATTACTGCAGATACTTACATGACTTCTTTCTTGTTGCAATATGGAAGAGGATCAATCTCCTTGACATCAGTGATGAGAGAGGGATTTACCTTACTTATGGTTTTTACACAATGGCAGCGCTTGATAGCTGGAAAAATTAAGACAACAGTGTAAATAATCTATGGGATCTCTACAGTTTCACCTCTCATGTTTTTCTGATGTTAGGCTCAGCAAAATAAAAGCTCATTTAAAGCCACCTAAATGTAGAAATACAGCAAAAAAGATTTCCACAATCCAATAGATTAGCACACTTACTTGCTGAAGTGCAAATGGAAGTGCAAGCCAGGAGAATGATGCACTGGATAGTGGTATTCATCCTTGTCTTAAATGGTAGACAGTGATCTTCAAACAGGATCTGGTGAATCCCCGTATCTCTGGAGTGTCAGACTGAAGCAAAGCCTTGTGTTTTTACAGTGGTTTTCTCTCCTCAGATTTGAAGACTTGATCCCTGCTTGGTGTATTCTTCTCCGGTTTGTGAGCTCCATGTTCACTGCACCTCCCTTTTATAGACTCACAGCTAGACCGACAGATTTCCTGAGAAGTGGTTAAAAAAAGAGAAAAGCCTGTTTTCCCATACTTGTACCACAGCTTTTGTGATCCATCCATTTTTCCTCAGAATCCACTTTGGCTGTCACTCTTCACTTCCCTTTCAAGACTTCCTGCATGTTGGGGAATGTTGAATCATGCATGACTTCAGGGATACTATTTTCTTTAATAATGCTGCAGAGTTCATTTGGACTCTCCCTGCTCACAAATGCTGTCTCTCATGAGTCACATTAATATTATTTTAGTGTAATAAAATAATATATATGCAATTACAAAAAACACAAACAATGAGTAGAAAGTGGTGATTACAATGAAATGACCACAGGAAAATACCTGATTACTGTTAAGAAACTAATTCATCTTGGATTTAATCCCAGTTCTAAACGTGTTGAGTTTCAGGAAAGAAAGAAAGAATGATTTCTGTCCGAGAGAGGATGTCTGAGTGATGTTAAAACGTTTCCTGTATTTTCACTTTCTACGGATGTGAATACATGTCCTTATCATTCAGCTGTGAGTCCCAATAAATATTTGAGACCATCATTAAGCAGTTGGTTCCAGTTGTCTAGAAATCTGTGTTATTAAAATGACCATGTATAGTAGAGAAATGCTAAATAAATACACGAGACTGGAGGATGTTTTTGTAGGAGATCCACTTCTCAGCAAATCTGTCGGTCTAGCTGTGAGTGTATAAAAGGGAAGTGCAGTGAACAATACACAGCTGCAGTAATATGAATAAACAGTAGTTTTTCATTTTCAGTGAAGATTATTGTTTTTCCGTGACAGTAATTCATAAGTGCTGTTTAGAGAGTTATTTTAAATTAAAGCTTTCTCCTTCTCCTACAGTGTCACACTGAAAGATAACAGCCAAAGGTGTCTTGACCCCAATGGAAGATTCACCCAAGGATATCTGCAATGGTAAGTCCAAAAACAAGCTTTTTTACAGGGTGCAATCTCATTATCTGCTGTTCAACACAACATTAACAAATATGCATGTAATCAGATGAGGGAAAGCTTGCCAAATTAAGTGCATGGGAAAGTTGAGCAAGATTTTTAGGCAAGGTCAACAGTCACTTTGCACATCTGGTTGTTGTTACTGTCTGAAGGTTGAACATAATGTATTTTCTTCACAGGAAGAGGGCACCCCGTGCTGAGAAGATAAAAACCACCAGTCCAAAAATAACTACAGCGGCAAACACACTGACAGCCACAGTGCACCGTAAAAAATGTGATCAGTGGTTCCTTAAAAAAATTATGCACTGAAAATAATAATTTACTATAATTGATTTACTTGATAAGATCCTTGTAACAATTTGCTTGAGTACTTTTTAAGTAAATTTTACTGCTCTACTATTAAGACACTTGCCAGTATCAAGTAAAACTTACTTATTATTATTATTATTATTATTATTATTACTTTATTCAAACAAATTAAGTTAAGTCATTAAAATTTTTTCATGTACAGGTACATCACTGTCACCAAAATATTAAGTACATTTTATCTACTTGTACTATTTACTGGTATGAATTAAATAAGTAGACTTTATTATTTTTCCTGACAATTTAAATTACCTACTTGCATGAAGTTATATTACTCACTATAATCATGTAAATGTTACTCATTTTATTTTAATAAATGTTACATATTGCTATGCATTTGATGTACTTCACAAATCACACAATACATAATTCTATTTAACTGTTTATTTTGTGAACAGTAAACACCAATTAGCATTCACTTCTCCTGGTAACCTACCCCAATACAGGGGTAAGTTGTAACAATAAGACAAAAGAAGCAAAAATTAATGCCACATTATATGATATGCTACAAAAACAGGTAGTGATATAAAAGAATAATGTTTCTCTCTCAGTGTAAGAGACTATGTCTGATGACTCAAGCACATGTATGTGTATGTAAATTTATCTAGCCTATAGAATAAACTTACTTTACAGTATACTTAATAAATACTACTACGTTTCTGATGACGGCGGCAGCTGATCACAGCTGGATCAGTGGTTAGTCGGCTCTAACAGCTGTAGAGACTTTTGATGGAACAAACAGATTATTTGTGCTGAGCAACATGTCTACATGTGTGCCATCTATATACCTCCATCAGAATCCCCCTACTACAACCCATAAAGTTTCTCTATTCTTGAGGAGGAAGTTAACCATTATAAAACCATGGGCAATGTATTAATCTGTGGGGACTTGAATACTCGAGCAGGGAAAAGAGCTGACACTATGAACGCCCAGGGAGACAAATACTTACCTGGAAGCACCTGCTTCCCCCTCCCTGAATGTCCTGCTAGAAAAAGCTTTGACAAGCTTACTAATACAAGCGGTATGCAGCTTTTACAGCTCTGCCATACACTGGGTCTGTTCATAGTCAACAGCAGGCTACGAGGGGACTCTCTGGGTCGCTACACTTACAGCTCAGTAGTACGGTAGATTATTTCATTACAGATCTAGATCCAATGTCTCTTAGAGCTTTCACAGTCAGCCCCCTCACACCACTCTCAGACCACAGCAAAATCACTATCTATCTGAAAAAGGCTCAGTCTAAGTCTGTGGCACCTAGTGCCTGTGAACTGTTTAACAGCACATACCCATACAGACGGACCCCAGACAGCATGGGGGCGTACCAAAAGGCACTGGAAAATCAAAACATACATGATTTAACTAATTTATTTCTATTTGAAACATTTTCCCAGAATAATTCTGGTGTAAATTCTGCTGTGGACAAAATCAATTCAATATTTCATCATTTTGCTTTGTTGTCTAATTTGAAAGCCTCCGAACCAAAACCTCGACACATGATCGGTAACAAATGGTTTGACACTGAATGCAATAACCTGAGGAAAACTTGAAAAGCATAGGGACCCAGATAACCACAACATACTGCTGTCAATATGAGGCCACCCTAAAAACTAAAAAAAAGGAACACAGCAAGAACCAGCTCTGTGAAACTGAGGAATCCTTAGAGTCCAGCCAGTTCTGAGAGAAGTGGTACAACCTAAACAAAACCCAGCAGGATGAATTGGCGATCCAAGATGGAAATACTTGGATTAATCACTTTAGTGAATTATACAGTAATATTACAAAAAATTATGATCTGTACAAGATATTCATGAAATGGAAAACTCTGGAGGTGGTGATAAAAATCAACCAAAACCCTCTAGATTACCCGCTAACAGAACAAGAATTAACAGAAGTCATCCAGTCCCTGAAAGGAAAAAAGGCTTGTGGTATTAATGGAATCCTCAACTAACACTATTCTAAACACATGAATAGAAATGTTGATAAATTATGTAAAACATGTTTCTTGCAGACAGCCTCTCCGTCTCTCTCTGACTTTAACTGTCTCCATAATAAAAGAGAAATAAAAAAAAAAGATATTTCTCATAAATAAATAAAGGCTTAGGCTTAAGGGCTTTTGTTGTTCAGACCTACAATGAACACAGATTTTAACAAGACAGTGAATCATAAAAAAACTCAAATATAAGACTTTGCAGCTAGTTTAGTTTAATGTTATCTGTTGTGATGTATCAGATCAGTCCGAGCAGCGTCCAATCAATATAGCGGCTACCTCATAAGGGGGCGTGTCGTTCAGTTAAAGACTTCTGCGAAGGATGCATTGGTGTATCCTCGCTCATAGCTCCTCAGAGATCACAAGTAAGAGCTTTGGGACGGCCTGCAAGATGGCGGAGTGGAACAACCTCCGGTTCAAGCGAGGACCGAGGAGCGAGGAAACGACGAATAAGAGACTTGAGAAGCACCCATGGAACCCTCTGTGATGTTTATGTAGGTGATTGAGTTAAAAAAACCTCTCTTAGGTTTTCATTGTGTTTTCCAAATGACTGAGGTTGTATGTTTTGCAGCAGTCTGCTGCCCGTCTGCTCTGTGTTTTGGTTGATTCCAAGGTTCCCTGTTTGGAGTGGCGTGATGTTCTGTCCTTTACAGAGCACCTTGTATTAAGGTATGAGAAACTTAATAAGCAACAAGTAGGGTATGATAACTACCTGAGAACTGTTATTTGCACATTGATTGCTTTTATAAACCTGTTGCTAATATGTGTGTTTTTAATTGTAGGTTGTCAGCTGCTGTTTTGCCTTGGTTGAATTAGGATTTTAACAATTATTAATTTTTAGTACACTTCTTCACGCCTCTAGGTGGAACTCTCCCAGTTGAGGATTCTTGCATTTTAGACATAACCAACTGGTCTATTGTGTTTTATTTAACTTGATGTTTTATCTTTTCAGTGGTTCAATTGGTCGGCTTGTGGTGGAGGCTAGGCACGCTAGTATGGGTCCCTTCACCAATTGTAGTGTTAACAGCACTGGGGCACGATTGGGGACACGATTTGCAGTGAACCGGTTTGCAGTGACTATTGATTGCAGTGGACCACTCCGACCTTTTGTTTCTTTAATAATATACAGCAATAATTGGGAGTGTGCTTTATTAAAAAGAAGTAACCTGTTTGCCGAAATTGTAATAAACTTCCATATTCCATTGTAATTTGATTGGGGTTTTTTGCATTATTGAGCATCCTCTTTTCAGGCACTTCCAGTTACCAATTATAAATAAATGAGTAATCCTTTTGGAACCACGTCTGTCTTACTTCAGTAAACCTGTGTAGACACCCCTTGCTACACTTTCATCGCTAGCCAGTGTAGCTACCTACTAAGCATACAGCTAACGGTAGCTATGAGGTAGATATGAGTGCAGGGCAGTGTAGCGAGTAGAGTCAAGATGATGAATTATCTGTAGCTGCAGTTGAGTTGGAAAACTGCAGAGCAGCTGAGAGCTGTGTTTGCTAACATTAGGTAAGACAATGTAGATATAGACTGCGCCGGTTTAGTTATTCAACAGCTAGGTTTCTTGTTAATTCTCTCTGTGATTATGGACCATCGGCAAAACTGCCCGCCAACCATATCTGTCCAGCTGCCAGATTAAGGTGCTTTGACAGGGCAAAAAATATAAATAAATGTTTTGATAGTGGTGCTGAAATAGATCTGTTATGATAGCAACAGTTACTCATATAATCTTTAGTGGTTTTGCCTACAAAATGAAGCTTGATTACTGTAATGCAGTATTGGAGTTGAACTGAGCTTTTACTTCTGAACAACATTAAAAGAGTCTGTAGCCTGCTTGACAAACCTATGAAAGAGCTGTCAGAAAACATGATTCCCCTAAATGTCCTCTGACTGGAGATACTGGGGAATTGCAAAAGCGTCCGTAGGTTGATGGATGCAGATCAAACACTGAAACATAAAATGTACAGCACATGCCGTGATCTGAGAAACATTCACCGCAGAATCTATTTGTTGAAGAGAGAAAAAAGAAGCTGTTTCAAGGTGGGATCAAACCCTGAACCATTGGGTTGGGAGTCCTGAGCTGTACCAACCAAACAACATGTTGAAGCAGGTCAATATTATGGCTTATATTCTCATCCACTATCTAATGGTTGACCTCTGTAGTAAATTATTACTACTTCTTCTAACTTCTGTACGTATTCAACATAGTGATGAGTGTCTGCACTGCCTGAATTCTACCAGAAGTACAAGAACGTATTGACGAAACGCGCTCTGTATCGCTGTTTGTACGTTTTCAGCTACAGTAGAAACATAATGATGCAACATGACGACCTCCATGGAAGGGGGTGTCTGTGGTTTTGGAGAAATAAATGGCTCACTCTAAGGTAATAAAAACATAATGGCTTATTATGTAAGGTCTTTAAACACAACTGAAAACTGAAAAGCATGTCAATCGATCCTCAGAAATATTATACACTACCTTTAATTCCTCATATGGATGTTGCTCAGAATGTATTTGTCTGCTGGGTCACTGAGTTGAACATAAACTGAGCTCGTTTAGGACAAATTAAGACAAAACCCAAGTTATGAAATCACGTCGTCTGAGTCATCTCTCTTAGAGAAGTTCTTTAGGATTGTACAATTATATTTCCCTTTCCCTATTCTGAATCACGCAACATATGTGTAGCTGGTAGTTCTGTAGAACTGATGCCAAATAAGCAGCAAGATGTTATTTGTTTATTATTCATTTCAAAGATTTTGAGTATTATGTTGTCAAACATTATAGAGGACTTCACATGTTGTAAAAAGAGATTAGATACATCCGCATGGTGAGAACCCTGAGGGACCATGAGCTTAGTGCTTAATTTGTGAACCACAAGATGCAGAACACAGAGTGTGGCTTTAGAGTTTTTAAAACTATGTTTTTCTGCTTTGAGCATCACAAATTAAACAAAATAAACCTGTCCACGTACAAAGGATAAGTTGTGAGAGTGGAGAACTGTGTTAAACAAAAATGTTAGTGTTAACAAATGCCAAGTGTTCTTCACACTTCTCCTTGTGTCTGCATACAGGAAATGTTTATTTTTAATCAGTAATAACAGTGATAGTACCAGCATCAGTACTGGAATTAAGCATTTTGATATCTGTCTTTCTTAATAGAAAATGACGTGACAGCCACGACTAAAAAAGTTTAGAAAAGGAAATCATCTCTCAGAACACAGTGCCTTTCATTTATGTCTTTATTTTTAAACCTTTTTTGACAGTGACACAGATCTGACTTCAGACACTGGAATGAATGGGTGGAAAGCAGCACATTCACTGCACTCATTTTTACTGGGGTAGTATGATTTTCCTACCAACCAACATTTCCGTCCTCAGAGTAACTTGAGAGATGCTCTTATCTCAAACATTCTACGCACAGGCAGACTTTTTCTTGGCTAGTACCACTGACCAGGCAAACAGCACAAACCCCAGGATATAGGCCAGCTGTTGCCCCTGGTTTCCAGTCTTTATGCTAAACCAGCTGCACATGGTAGCTTCAAATTTAACAAATTGACATGAGAGTGAAAACAATCAATCTCATCTAACTATTGGCAAGAAAGTGATTAATCATATTTTCTCAAAATGCTGAAAATTCTTCCAACCTGGGTCTGGTTCTCACTTTGCACTCACCACCTCTGTAGTATCTTGGGAGCAGTATGAGCCAACCCAAACAAGTAAGCTTTGCTTTTATGTAAATTGTTTAAAATGCTTGACTCAGAGTTAAAACCTCTTAACATTCCAACTGCATTGTTTCATTTGCTGGTGTAAAGAAGGGCCAGCCCCTGTTTTTTGGTGGTTAGGCCAAGCCCATTGCAAGTAATTGTGCCGAAGACTGGCACTTCGTGATGATATTGGTATGAAATTTAAACTTGGACTAGGTAAGGCTTTATGCCGTGGCCCTACAGTGTTTTTCAGCTAGTATGTCCCAGCTGTAGTTGTCTGCATGCATTTGTTAGCAAGCATTTTCTAGCGGAAATGAAAGATATATTAGTTTTAGTGTGTTAAAACATTATATTGATCAATTCAGTAGCACTTTTGGGTTAGACACTTCAGAGTGTTATCTTTCAAAGAATCCCAAAGCCATGCATTTACTCCAAATGGTTCAAGAAATGTTTGGGTTTGGGAGCAGGAACACGCCTAAAACCACACCTCTAATCAGCTGACAAGTCTATCTAAACCCGTGCTATTCAGCCGGCCTCCTCTGTCTCTGCTCGACCCACCCTCCCTTTCCCTTCCCTTCATCCCCTCGTCCCTTCCTATTCAACCCGGTGCACAACTCCCATGTTTCATCTAGGTACCGTCTGGGGGGTTGGTAAATCACAGGGCGAAACCACTAACGAGACGGAAACCCCACTGTGATTCTTTGTCTCTCTGCCCACTCATCATACATCCTCCCAGATCAGCCATCAGACAGAATCCTTCTTCCACCCCCCCCCCCTTCTCCTTAACATCCATTTATCTATCTGTGCAGAAATGAGTCACCTGGACTAGCTTTTGTAGCTATAACTGCATAGCGATCCTTTGGGAGAAAATCCCATGCATTGTGATTACTAGAGTACAGAAAAATGTTTAGCTATTAGTAGAAAGATGTCTATGAAGATTCTCAGTCATCCAGGTCATAGTTATCCAATGAAGGTTAAAGTCAAGGGCAACTCGGGCAACCGTTTTGGTTGTTTGTTGGCATCTCAGGTTAAATCGTAGATGGTTCCTGTAGTCTGCAATTTTCCTGTCCCTTCATACTCCTGTACCAATCTGAGGGTGTTCATCCCAAAATGATTAGCAAGATGTCTATGAAGATTCTCAGTCATCCAGGTCATAAAGTCATAAAGTCAACTGGACTTGGTTGCAACCAAGTCCAGTTGCCCTTGACTTTAACCTTCGTTGGATATTAGTAGAAAGTTTGTTAGGGTTGTTGTGTTCTGATCCAGGTAAACACAACTAAATGCCTAAATATCCTATTTATTCATGTTTTTTGTTTTTTCAAGACAAGCAACAGTTCCCACCATGAGCAGAGCTGATGCAACTGACATGACTGAACGACTGCATGTATTCTGGCTGACATCTGTGCTGAATGTGGTTTTGATCCAATTCCCAATATCAACATGAGGAACCCGTTTCTTGACACAGTAAGCCTTTAAAAGAAAAGTGCCAGAGGCTCCAAAATTCCAAATAGACAGTTTACAAAAGCTGCAATAAAGTTGTCTAAACTTGTTCATCCATCAGGAGCAGCCAGTGAGTTTAAAAACCAGCAGGGTTGTAGAGCCCTCTCTCATCACTGATGTCAAGGAGTATGATCCTCATCCATACTGCAACAAGAAAGAAGTCATGTACCTGTATATACAAAGTCTTCACCCCCAACTCAAAATTCATCCAGGAAGTCCAGCAAAAAAACAACAAGTTGCAATCTTATTCACTGTTGTTCAACAATAAGTTAGTGCACGGGAAGGTTGAGCAACATTTTTATCCATTTTTATCGTCACTGTCACAGTGTGCAGGAAAGAATGAGGATGTAACATAAGATGTATGTAGTCCTGCAACTGCTTGATACTGCTGATACAAAAGGAATAAGAAGTCTTTAAGCTATATTGAACCACCACATTGCTCAATGTTTACTTTAGAGCAGTGGTTCCCAACCTGGGGTTTTGTACCCCCTCACAAGGTAAATCTGAGGAGTCTTAAGACAACTAAAAGAATAGGAACTATAAAAAAAACTTTCAGCCATAGAAAGTATATATTTTTTTTGTTTTTCAGACTTCCCTCTAATAGTCTTTAAAGTTTACTAAAAGATAATAGTATTTCTAGTCTGAAAATAAAAATAATATAAAAATCACCTTTTGTTTGAACTGGTCACCTTTGATGATTAAATTCACAAGACATTCATTTTAAGGGGTCAAAAGTCAAAAAGGTTGGAAACCACTGTTTAATATGATTAAAATCTCAAATTGAATGTTGAACATGTTTTCTTCCCAGGCAGAGGGCAGCGCGTGCTGATAGGATGAGAACCACCAGCCCAGAATGATGTGGTAGTCAAAGCATCAGCCTTCCTTCCTTCATTTAAATAAAAGATATGTGATATGTTTTCGTCACATGCAGAGGGCCAGCAGCCCATAAAACCACCCAGCTACAGCTACAAAGTTTTTCTTTTTGTATCATTTGTGTGTC